CAAAACTTGGAATATAACTAGAAGGCAGCTAGTCAACAGTATCCACCGCCAAAACTTGGACTACAACTAGAAGGCAGCTAGTCAACAGTATCCACCGCCAAAACTTGGACTACAACTAGAAGGCAGCTAGTCAACAGTATCCACCGCCAAAACTTGGACTACTCTACCTCACTAGTGGGATTTGACCGCCATTTTCATATCGTACAAAGTGCGGAGCGTTATTTGGAGGTAACGGGAAGTGAGCCATGAATCCTCAGATCCACAGTATTTGTTGTTAAGCACAAAGCTACGCAATGGGCTATCAGCCCTCTGCCCAGCACGAGTATCAAAGCCAGAGTATTAGTTCTTCAGCCATACCGCTGATCCACCAGAGGGCTCGAAAAAGATATAAAAAAACAACATACGCTAAAGAGATGAAAACAGCCTTTATTTAAACGTAGAAAGTTTATATATATACACCCCAAGCTGTTTTAAAGAAGCATTTCATGCTCACAACACATTTATGGATAACAGAAATTAGTAAAACCATGGCTTTAGACTCTAACAGAGTACCTAATTACCCTCTTCTTTCCTCATTGGACAAACGAATCCCTAGCGGAATTCTCGTTAAACACTTTTCTTAATACATATCTATATTCTAAAGACATTCTCACCGGGAAACACGAGAGTTAAAAGTTTTACGTATATAGTACAGGAGTGGAATTAAGTAAGGAACACGTCTTACATAATAGCATTTTACAATCGTTAAGATCTCTTACGATGTGCCCAAGTTAAAGAAGCCGAAAGATCACATTAAAACCTTTCAACTGTTGCTTGAACAAACTGATTACATTCAATTAACCACAATTACCAATCTCTGATGCCAAACCATCTCCGTCCATAATGGATAATTGTAAGTAGCTTAACTGAAGTTAATTAATTACTTCCCAAAGAGTAAAAACATTGATTTTACGACACTAAGTAAATAGCGTATCGAAATTCACTGTTATTACAGTAAATTAGCTAACCTGTCATTACAAACAACTGAAAGTAAATATGGGCATATTTTAACAACAGAAATACTGTTTGATTAGGGTACAAGGGTTAAAAATTCTCGAATGTTTGAGGATATAACGATTTTCACACGACCTTTTTTTTCTGGTATCTTACCACCTGGTTGGTCTATTTTCTGCTTGTTACGAACTTAAAGCACTCAGGGTAACGACTGCTCTTCGTTATCAATGTCCGAAATAATTTTCAGCATAACTCTTCCAATATATACAACAGAATTTGTACATTTTCTTACTACGACGGACAAATTCACACTAATCGTACAGAAATACGGGGTGTTCACGTAGAACAATATGAAACTGTACAACAATGTCAAGCTAATGATATATATATACAATAATGATCCCACTTTAACAAAGACACTATCTTACAATATTCTATTTCAGCCCAGAAAACGTTCTCATCTAACTATATATTAATACACAAAAAACACGTGGCCATTTTAATAATGGAATATTTATACGAAACAACAAGTTCGTGTTTTATTCACGTGAGAAGCCTCGCCCCATGTCGCATTAACGTTAACGTTTAGAACTACACAACATGAACAACGGTCTCCATCTTTGTATCATTGGCCCGACCCATGTCACATCACGTTAACGTTTAGAACTACACAACATGAACAACGGTCTCCATCTTTGTATCATTGGCCCGACCCATGTCACATCACGTTAACGTTTAGAACTACACAACATGAACAACAGTCTCTATCATTGGCCCGACCCATGTCGCATTACGTTAACGTTTAGAACTACACAAAATGAACAACAGTCTCTATCTTTGTATCACTGGCCCGACCCATGTCACATCACGTTAACATGTACAACTACACAACATGAACAACAGTCTCTATCTTTGTATCGCTGGCCCGACCCATGTCACATCACGTTAAAGTTTAGAACTACACAACATGAACAACAGTCTCTATCATTGGCCCGACCCATGTCACATCACGTTAATTTTTAGAACTACACAACATGAACAACAGTCTCTATCTTTGTATCACTGGCCCGACCCATGTCACATTATGTTAACGTTTAAAACTACACAACATGAACAACAGTCTCTATCTTTGTATCATTGGCCCGACCCATGTCACATCACGTTAACATGTACAACTACACAACATGAACAACAGTCTCTATCTTTGTATCACTGGCCCGACCCATGTCACATCATGTTAACATGTAGAATTACACAACATGAACAACAGCCTATTTCAGGGAAGTTCTATTAATCCACGGCATGTTGCAGTTTTTTAGTCCTTGTTACCGTAACATCCTGGACCTGCTGCTGTAGACGTCTTAGCTAGGCCTAACATGGCGTCTAGAACTACAGCACAGTTTTGTATTTACCGGAGTTCCAACTCCGTATAGACTGATTTTTATCTATTATTTTCTTTCAAAATGAGTAATAATTAGTAGGAAAGGAATAAAATAATCAGCAAAAGACAAAACAAGAAATGAGAGCATGTCGAAATTACCACAGAAAGATAGCAACAGGCCTGAGTAAATAGAATAACTAGTGCAATCAGATATACATGCAAACTGATTCATTACATAGAAATGGTAAGAAAGACAAAAGAGTACTTACACGTTGTACATGTCACTGGGGAATTTCCAGAAAAACTACTTGAGGGATATTTCTCCTAGCTGTCCCTAATTTTGAGCTAATGGGAAGGTAATTAGTCAACATCACCCACTGTCAACTTGTGGGATACTCTAATTAAAAGTGGTTTTTGACCAGCACTCTTATAATGTACCAACGGCCCCAAAGTGATCATTTTTTTCTGTGCGGTAACAGGGTGCAATTTACAAAACCTCAGATCCACAGTCCAGGGCACATTCAGCCTCCATGTGATTGTACTCAGTATACCGACTCACACGTAGTACTTTCAGTTATTACTCTGGAATGTGCTAAGTAGTCCTTAATATTTTTGCAACGTAAGTGGGGAACTAAAAGATGTGCAGTGAAAGTTTTAGCACGTAAGTGAATTAGAAATAAGCAAAAGAATGGTAAGGCTTGGTTGTTTGTATAAAGGAATGGTAAGGCTTGGTTGTTTGTATATTAATCCTGATGATGACTCCTGAAATGGGTCGAAAGCTAGTTCAAACAAACTAATTTTGGATTACATGCATTAATGTGGTGTTGAACAGTTTGAAGTAAAGACAAAGAATCATGTAAACTACATTGTTGATGAACTGTTTGAGGTAAAGACAAAGAATCATGTAAACTACATTGTTGATGAACTGTTTGAAGTAAAGACAAAGAATATCATCATGTAAACTACATTGTTGATGAACTGTTTGAAGTAAAGACAAAGAATGTCATCATGTAAACTACATTGTTGATGAACTGTTTGAGGTAAAGACAAAGAAGGACATTAGTAAACTACATTGTTGATGAACTGTTTGAGATAAAGACAAAGAATGTCATCATGTAAACTATATTGTTGATGAACTGTTTGAGGTAAAGAATGTCATCAGTGAACTACACTGTTGATGAACTGTTTGAAGTAAAGACAAAGAATGTCATCAGTGAACTACATTGTTGATGAACAGTTTGAAGTAAAGACAAAGAATGTCATCAGTAAACTACATTGTTGATGAACTGTTTGAGATAAAGACAAAGAATGTCATCAGTGAACTACATTGTTGATTAACTGTTTGAGGTAAAGAATGTCATCAGTGAACTACACTGTTGATGAACTGTTTGAAGTAAAGACAAAGAATGTCATCAGTAAACTACATTGTTGATGAACTGTTTGAGATAAAGACAAAGAATGTCATCAGTAAACTACATTGTTGATGAACCGTTTGATGTAAAGAATGTCACCAGTGAACTACATTGTTGATGAACTGTTTGAGATAAAGACAAAGAATGTCATCAGTAAACTACATTGTTGACAAACTGTTTGAAGTAAAGACAAAGAATGTCATCAGGAAAATACATTGTTGATGAACTGTTTGAAATAAAGACAAAGAATGTCATCAGTAAACTACATTGTTGACAAACTGTTTGAAGTAAAGACAAAGAATGTCATCAGTAAACTACATTGTTGATGAACTGTTTGAAATAAAGACAAAGAATGTCATCAGTAAACTACATTGTTGATGAACTGACAAATAATGTAATTAGTAAGTGTAAAATATAAATGTATATAGACAATGATTATCTACAGCAATGAAAAGCAGAGTCTAACTGTTCCAAGATTCCATGCATCTTAAACATAAGCACCAAAAGGTAATGAAAGAGGGATAGCTAAGTGCTGAAACTACTGTACATCCTAGGCAGCCAGGTTTTATTAACCTTTGGTAACAGTTCTTGGGTGAAGAAGTACAAGGTTCTTTAGTAGTAATAGCTGAATCTGGGAAGTTGTTTCCTTGGGTTTAACTTGACTGAAATTCTCTATGATCAGTTTCCTACAGAATTCAATCTCTCTCTCTTTCTAATACAAAAAAAAAAGAAAAACACGAAAAGATACCCGTAAAGCCCTCTAAGCAATGCAACAGAAATGAGGCAGACAGTAGTGTTTCAAGTGTTAATCACAACAATTAACACACATATACACACACACACACAAAATACCATGCAGTATTTCAAGTGTCAGTGACCATAATAAGCAGGATATGAAAGAAAAGGACTGTGTGGGTTTAAGTGTTAACCACCATAATTAAGCACACTAGACTGTGTGGGTTTTCAAGTGTTAACCACCATAATTAAGCACACTAGACTGTGTGGGTTTTCAAGTGTTAACCACCATAATTAAGCACACTAGACTGTGTGGGTTTTCAAGTGTTAACCACCATAATTAAGCACACTAGACTGTGTGGGTTTTCAAGTGTTAATCACCATAATTAAGCACACTAGACTGTGTGGGTTTTCAAGTGTTAACCACCATAATTAAGCACACTAGACTGTGTGGGTTTTCAAGTGTTAACCACCATAATTAAGCACACTAGACTGTGTGGGTTTTCAAGTGTTAATCACCATAATTAAGCACACTAGACAGTGTGGGTTTTCAAGTGTTAACCACCATAATTAAGCACACTAGACTGTGTGGGTTTTCAAGTGTTAACCATGATAACTAATGAGAATGGATAAGGTCTGTACCTACCCTTGAAAACTCGAACTACTCAAATGGTTTTGTCTAAGAAAGTACGACAACGTAGATGTGTTCCTGTAAGTTTCCTTTGTTTTTTGTAAACCTCTATGGAGAATTTATTCTTGTTAAAATATAATGTCTTGATTATTTAATAAAATGTAAATATAAACAAGGGGATATAAAAGTAGAGCACACCACCTTAACCGTTGTATAATTTCTGTCCTAGTTAGTAAGAAGTAAGTCGTGTTGGGTTTCATTATTGTTTTTGGTTGGGACATCAATATCCATGTAATAAGGTAATGAAGTAAGTCTCTTGTCGTGATAAACAGTACAACAATTCCCACAGCTCTCCTGAATTTTTAACTAACAGACTAGATGGAAGGCAGCTATCTATCAGCACCCATCAGCAACTCTTGAGACTACTCTACTCAAAGAGATGGATGTAATGACACTCGTATAATGCACTCACAGCCTCAAAAGTGTAAAGCACAATTCTGTTTTGATGGCAATGGATCCAAACCGTACACCCTCAGAACAATAGTCTGACATGCTAGCCACAAAGCCAGAAACATCATGGTGGTGTGCCACTTGTGCATCACCTTATATTTAACGTAATCAACAGTGACAAACTGCTTAAATAATAAATTTTTCAATCTAATAACAAGAAAAGTAGTGAGGTGTTCCCTTATCATCCTCAGCTAAGTGGCATCTTTCATGCTTTAACCTGTTTATTAATATTTAGATGTAGCAAACTTATTAAATAATTTATATCTTGAACAATTAAAAGCGAATGTTCATTCCTACTTACACAGGAGCTTTAGAGCTGATAACCATTTATTTGTTTTGTATAACCATCTCAGGGTCACATCAATAACTGTCTCAGTTAAGAGAGCATTCCTAAGGTTAGAGTCCTGTCTTGTTCCCTCATACATCACTGATTTTGCAATACATAGCTAAGCCTAACTTCCCTTCACCTACTAAACTCCTGTCTTGTTCTTCCATACATCATTGATTTAGCAATATCTAGCTAAGACTAACTTCCCTTCACCTGCTTAAGTCCTATCTTGTTCTCTCATACATCACTGATTTTGCAATACATAGCTAAGCCTAACTTCCCATCACCTATTAAACTCCTGTCTTGTTTTTCCATACATAATTGGTTTAGCAATATCTAGCTAAGACTAACTTCCCTTCACCTGCTTAAGTCCTGTTTTGTTCTTCCATACATCATTGATTTAGCAATATCTAGCTAAGACTCACTTCCCTTCACCTACTAAACTCCTGTTTTGTTCTTCCATACATCATTGATTTAGCAATATCTAGCTAACACTAACTTCCCTTCACCTGCTTAAGTCCTGTTTTGTTCTTCCATACATCATTGATTTAGCAATATCTAGCTAAGACTAACTTCCCTTCACCTGCTTAAGTCTTGTTTTGTTCTTCCATACATCATTGATTTAATGATATTTAGCTAAGCCTAACTTCCCTTCACCTGCTAAATCTAGGATGTTTCACCCAAGTAGCTAAACCCTAGTTCTGACTTCTTTCTTTTAACCTATTCCATTTGTACATTTCACTGATCTCTAATTAATCGGATTTATTTAACCTAATCTATATCCACTCATACATTTAAGTCTAAGTAGCTTAAATCTATTTCTGACTATTTTGCTAATCCATTTTAGTCAAGCTGATCAACCTCATTGACCATCATAATCACAAGCTGACTCTTATAAGTAATTTTACAATATTGTAATGTCTTTTCTTTTCTGAGCTGCTCACTCTCTGTACTATCTAAGTCTTGTTAATATCTTTTATTTTTTCAGTTGCTCACTCTGTAATATCTTCACTTTGGTAATATCTTCCTCTCCAAGCTGCTCACACTGTAATGTCTTCAATTTAGTAATATCTTCCTCTCCAAGCTGCTCACACCGTAATGTCTTCACTTTGGTAATATCTTCCTCTCCAAGCTGCTCACACCGTAATGTCTTCACTTTGGTAATATCTTCCTCTCCAAGCTGCTCATTCTGTAATATATTCTTTTCTGAGTTGCTTACTCTGACTTGACCTTGTTAATCTAATACTCTGCGTGGCTCTTCAATCTGTCCAACACCTCTTAAACTAGATATTTTTATTCTGAGCTGCTGGAAACTAAACTGTACAGCCAGCCAGTTTGAAACTACTGTAATATCAATCTGTCAATGTCTAGTTTTCACCTTAGTGGCTGAAATGCTAATCTGTCCATGGTAGGTCCACTGTCTTTAACTGCTGCCAAGCTCAGTCGCTTACACTTAGCACGGCGGTTCTTGAACCAGAACTGGATATTTTTTGGCTCAAGCTTGGGAAACTTCTGGCGATAAGGCATGACATTCAACTCATGAGTAAAACGTACTATCATACTATGGGAAGGGTGAGTATTAATAGCAAACCACTGTTCCAACCTGGGAACCTCTGTCACTGGGTCAATGAAAGTGCGGTTTCTTTTTCTCCTTTCTTCCATGTTGTAAGGAGACACAGAAGCAGAGGGTGTCACCTGATGGCTTGGTCCAGATGAACTTGTGTCTCTATTTTCAAAGTCTTGGTGAGATAAACTTTCTCTTGGAGTTTTACTCCTTTCTGACTTCTCCCAACTTTCACTGGTTATCATTGTAACATCTATGTCCTGGTCTTCATCACCCGAAACACATGAGTCTATTGAGTTATCAGTAATATCTTCAGGAAGCTCTTCTTTGACTTCTGCCTGTTCCATTCTTTTATGGCGGGATGGTGAAACATTGGAATTATGGTCACCACTGTTATTGTTTGTGTCAGTGATCTCTTGCCGTACAGATTGACCACTGCTATTATTCATATCCACAAGATCTCGCTGTACTGACTGACCACTGGTGAGGTTTGTGTCTGTGGTCTCTCGCCGCACTGACAAATCCAATGTATGATTGGTGTTGTCAGGATTTTCCTTGTCTGAGCCTTGCAAGTCCACTTTGAAGCCATTTTTTGGGCTACAAAAGTCAATCTTACGTTGTTTAGAGGAGTCTACATTGTTGTTCTTATAGAACTCGTCACTAGTATTGTTATCTGCTTCGTGAGGGCTGCTGTCTTCACAGTAGTCACCACTAGGGCTACGAGAACCATTAGGGTCTATAAAGTACCTTTGTTCTGCCCTCTTGTAGGCAGCACGTGCATTTTTAAACCAGTAAACAACGTTATTGATATCTAGAGGCTTACGTCCTCTTCGGGATTCCAGTGCGTTTAGTTCCTTAACATACTGTTGGATTTGGTGTCGTGAGGGGTGTTGGTTCTCAGCAAACCATCGCTGTAATTTCGGCAGTTCCAATTCAGGGTCAAAAGAGGTTCTTATACGGGTCCTTCCTTGAGGTGGACTGGTGAAAACAGCCCCATGTCCGGGTACATGGTGGTGCTTGTTGGATATGACTATAGCTCCATCCATTGGCGACTGATCTAAATGATTAATCCTGGTTTGTTGTTGGTGATGTATATTTTGTTTGTGGAGCAATGCCACCTGTCGGCAATGCTGGAAAACCTGTTGCAAGTACCAATGATCAAACTTTTTTCTTGTCTCCTCGGATATGTCACATTCAAGTCGGCCTTTGGATAGGGCTACCAGGATGGACTATGAATAGAAATAAGAAAAAATAAATGCATATCAAAAAAATCCAGCAAGTTCAATCAGTGAGACTGGACACAAACAATAAATTTTCATATTGAATGAAAGTAATAGTACATAAACAAACAAAACTTTATATGACATTAATAATAAAAACGTTCATCCTTGCACTTTTTCTAACATAATAGTAACCGTTATTATTACAACTTATTACACAAAATAGAAAGAAATTGAGATCTGAATGAAGAAGAATATAAAATGATCGGCCCACCTGGAAGGGTATTACAAAAAAACCATTAATGAAGTATGAAGAAAAAAATGCTTGATGTTTTAATAGCACGTCAAAAAACTCTTTGTTTAATACAAAGCTGAATATTTTTCAATAATCATTATATCGACATGACTGAAAGACGTGTTACATAAAAACATCAAACACTTAACAACAATGTGCTGTTAGAGCAAGACTAAATAATCCCTTTCTATCTTACATGATCTTTATATGACAAACTGAAACCAAAACCCCAGCTGCAAGCTGTTGCATAGAAATATCAAACACTTAATAACATTGTACTGATCACTATGAACATATGTTTTTACCACAACCAGGTCCTTGTGTTTTATTTACTTTTTCATCACTAGATGATTTTAATAATTTAAAGCAAACACTGAAACTACTTCTGATAAATTATTCAACATTCTTACTGGTTACTCAAACCCAACGTGACAATATCTACAGATAAGGTAGTCAACATTCTTACTGGTTACTCAAATTAACCTAACAATATCTACAGATAAGGTAGTCAACATTCTTATTGGTTACTCAAGCCAACCTGACAATATCCATTGATAAACTAGTCAACATTCTTACTGGTTACTCAACCTAACAATATCCATTGATAAACTAGTCAACATTCTTACTGGTTACATAAGCCCAACCTAACAATATCTACTAATAAATTAGTCAACATTCTTATTAATTTCCAAACCAACAACTACTTATCTTATTTAATCTAACAAATAAACAGCTAGTTTCTCCACTGTAAAACTAATTGTAATGGTACACCACGTGTTATCTGAACCATTTTATCTTGTTTGTTCCAATAGCACCTTTTAACTCCAGAAAGTATGTAAATAAATTCCACAGTTATCTCACTCCTTCAACAGGGCATGGGATAAACTGTGGTCGGTTTGTACAATCACGTGTTTAATATCAAATCTTATAGGTAATCTTTAACTTCTGAGAACAGTTAATATATTATGTAGTCAATTACATTTCAGATAAATAAGGAAAACATGATTTCAAATGTATTGGGGAAGAAAATGACTTGAGTCAAGTGAACTTCTGATGGACTGGTCTGTGATAAAGTAACTTTAATCCCAGATATATACTATACAATGAATGTGGAACAACAGCCCTGTCATATACAGTGCAGCTAATAAGTCTTAAGACTTATTTGTACTGTTGACTTTCATGCAAAGCTACTCGAAGAATATCTGAGTTAGCTGTCCATAATTTAGAAGTGACAGACTAGGGAAAGGGCAGCTAGTCATCAACACCCACTGACAACTCTTGTCAAACCTGATAGTTAGATTAGACCATCACTATTTTACCACACCCACTGCAGAAAGCGAGTTTAATTTTCGGTAATGGGAGACGAACCATACTCTTAAGAATGCTATAACACAGTGAAAAGTAAAACTACAGTATTGTATCCTGTCACAAAAACTTAAGTCACTGCCTGTGATTTGTATCCTGTCACAAAAACTTAGGTCACTGCCTGAGATTAGAGTGCTAAAAAAAAGAAGAAAAAAAAGGAGATTAAGCATTGGAGTGAACAGATGCCAAGGACTGAATTAGTAGTTGCTCACGGACATGTTCTTTGTCTCGTGCATGACCACATAAATATTTACTACAGTATTTTGTTACGTATACCATATAGGTGAGATGTTAGCTAGAAATCATGACCGAGAATACCATACACAGCAAGGGCATCCAAATGTTGGGGTCAATGCTATTTATTTATTTTAAGTGTTCCTGTATATTGATGTGACTTTTGAGTCAATTTGTTGTCAGAATGAACCTCATTAATTTATAAGTTTCCAATATTCAGTAATAATTTGTATGGTTAATTACAAAATGTCTTTCAGAAAAACTGACATGTTCTAAAGTTTATCGCATATTAGAACAAATATCTCTTTTCTTTCCAGCAAACTCGAAAACTAAGCTTTTGAAACTAAAACACAGTCTTAAATCGATTAACAGCAGGTAGACTGGTAAGATACAACACTCAGCCCAACATAATGTTTAGAAATTAATGTTAGTTACTAAAATATGATCAGGGCATGGCCCAATGGTTTGCATACCAGACAATGCATATCTGAGGGCCCTGGGTTTGAGATGTGGCATTATCAAAGCAAGCTTCACGATTTCAGCTGTGGGTGCATTATAAAAGTGACAGGCAACTACACTATTCGGTTGGGAGAAGCGGTGAGTGCTTTCAACTAGTTGTCTTTTCCTTTGTTTGGCAGTTCAAAATTAAGGATTCCTATACCTGAGCCACAGTGGTCTCTGACCCCTCCAACACATTGGTGAACAATGATTAGTTTTCACGTGACTTACCTATGCTATGGCAAGAAAGATAATGACTAAAGCCAAATGAAACAGTATGATCACCTTTACCTATCGAAGTTTTAACCAGAGAAGTCACAGATCAGATAACTATATAAATATAACATGAAGAATGGTTTAACATATCGCTTCCAGTCTGTTTTCCTGACAAATCTAGCAGGCTGAAGGTATTGACAAGATTTTTACAAATGCCTAACAGACTTAATTAAGAAGTAAGGAATGACAACGTACAATGTAGGCTGATAGATAGGAAGATAAACTAGAAGTGGGATGATCTGAATGATTAATGTACCATGACTTATTAAAAACAAGAACATAAATATA